AACTATGACATTTAATCATATGGTGAAAAACTGACTTTGAAAAATAAATCTGTTCTTTTTTTCTTATAAAAGGTTAAATAAAACAAAAACATTGGCGGTAATTTTTGACTGTGTAACTTTACAAACAGCACCCCACAGTTAAGGTTCACATTTTTACTCATGAAGCATCTCCTACACGCTCTAATGTACGCCGGCAGAGACTCGATACGACTGTTCCTGCAGGCTTTGGGACAAAAGAGGCACAGTGTAAAGAGTAGAGCAGCTAATGTGAGGTTTGATCAGGCTGATTTAGTTACGTCAAGTGTTCAAAAGAAACAGGAAGTTCCTCTGCTTATAACTGCAAGCTTCAGCTTAAAGAGCTGCAGATTTACCAAGAACTTTTTAATTTGCAACAAACATCACAACGTTTCCTCTCACAGTTCAACCAGAGTCTTCTGACTCTGCAGTAGGGTTCTTCACAGGACGTCTGAGTCACTATCTTACCTGCAGCAGATGTAGCGATCTTAGTTTGGAGAATTGGGGAGAAATATTCCTAAGAGTGTGATTTTAAAGACCGGTCAGAAAAGGAGACGATTTAAAGAAGAATTTTTGTGAAGTAAAACAAATCAAACACCCAAAAAATGAACGCACCAGTATTTAGTTTATTGAAGAATTCATTCATGTTCTGTGCCGATTTATCATAAAAACACAAAAGAAACAAACCTTAAAGCAAACAATTAATGCTGCGAGTTTACCTGAGTGTTTTGTTTTGCTTCTGCAGTATGAAAATTGTATTTTATTCACCGTTGTTTCACCTGGAAAATCCCATTGAGATCGCAGATTTCTTCTTCAAGCGCAGCCTGGGCCTGAAGGCAAACTGTTGTTCATGTTTTTGGGGTGTGGGGGAAACCGGAGTACCCGGACAAAACACGCAAACACAAGGAGAGCATTTTTTAGAATTTATAGAAACTAAACGGACTTAAGTATTTTCAGTCTTTATTTTACAGTTGAAGTAAAGCCGTCCATCCGTTTTCTTCCTCTGATCCGGGGTCAGGTCTCGGGGGCAGCAGCCTCAGCAGAGACCCAGACTTCCCTCTCTCCAGACACTTGGACCAGCTCATCTGGGAGAATCCCAAGGTGTTCCCAGGCCAGCTGAGAAACATAGTCCCTCCAGCGTGTCCTGGGTCTTCCTCTGGGTCTCCTCCCAGTGGGACATGTCCAGAACACCTCACCAGGGAGGCGTCCAGGAGGCATCCTAACCAAACAAACCACCTCAACTGGCTCCTCTGGACGTGGAGGAGCAGCGGCTCTACTCTGAGTCCCTCCTGTATGACTGAGCTTCTCAGTCTATTTCTAAGGGAGAGCCCAGACACCCTGCGGAGGAAACCCATTTCAGCTGCTTGTATCTGTGATCTCCTTCTTTCAGTCACTACCCAAAGCTCCTGACCATAGATGAGGGTAGGAACATAGACCTACCGGTAAACCGAGAGCTTCACCTTAAGGCTCAGCTCTCTTCACCACGACAGACCGGTACAACGCCCGCATCACTGCAGACACAGCACCAATCCTTCTGTTGATCTCCTGCTCCATTCTTCCCTCATTCGTGAACAAGACCCCGAGATACTTAAACTCCTCCACTTGGGGCAGGACCTCCTCCCTGACCCGGAGGCGGCACGTTACTGTTTCCCAACTCAAGACCATGGTCTGGGATTTGGAGGCACTGATCCTAATCCCAGCTGCTTCACACTCGGCTGTGAACCGCTCCAGTGAGAGCTGGAGATCAGGATCTGAAGAAGCCAATAGGACCACATCATCTGCAAAAAGCAGAGATGCGATCCTAAGGCCACCAAAAAGGAACCCTCAACACCTTGGCTGCTCCTAGAAATTCTGTCCATAAAAGTTACGAACAGAATCGGTGGCAAAGGGCAACCTTGGAGGAGTCCAACTCTCACTGGAAACGAGTCTGACTTACTACCAGAAATGTGGACCAAGCTCTGGCACTGGTCATACAGGGACCTAACAGCCCGTATCAATGGGCCTGTTACCCCATACTCCCGGAGTACCCCCCACAGGAGTCCCCAAGGGACACGGTCGAACACCTTCTCCAAGTCCACAAAACACATGTAGACTGGTTGAACTCCCATGCACCCTCCAGGATCCTGCTGAGGGTGTAGAGCTGGTCCACTGTTCCACGACCAGGACCAAAACCACACTGCTCTTCCTGAATCAGATTCGACTGTCCGACAGACCCTCCGCTCCAGAACCCCTGATTAGACCTTACCAGAGAGGCTCAGAAGTGTGATCCCCTATAGTTGTGACACACTCTATGGTCCCCCTTTTTAAATAGGGGGACCACCCCGGTCTGCCAATCCAGGGGAACTGCCCCCGATGTCCACGCAATACTGTAGAGTCGCGTCAACCAACACAAACCCACAACATCCAGAACCTTAAGGAACTCTGGGCCACTCTCAAAAGGCAATTAAACGTTTCTTAGGCACCAAATGGTAAATGACCTGAACTTATATAGTAATTTATCAAGTCCAAGGACTCCAAAACTACAATCAATCATTCACACACTGATGGTGCTAAGCTACATTGTAGCCACAGCTGCCCTGGAGCACACTGACAGAGGCGGGGCTGCTATACCCCGGGGCCACCAGACCCTCTGACCACCAGCAGGCAAGGCGGTGAAGTATCTTACCCAAGGACACAATGACTGACAGACGGAGCGGGGTTCAACCCATCAACCCAATGGTTACAGGACAACTCCCAACCTCCTGTCGCCCCAAATCACACGATCAGCAATGGTTTTTATCATCCGTCCATTTTCTTTACCCACTTTACTTTTCCAGGTCTCCATCTCCAGCAGTTGTTGGTGTGGGGACAACCCTGGACAGGTCTCCAGTCCATCACAGGGACACAGAGAGACAAACGAGACAAACATAAATTCACTCACAGGTCTTTTTCCAGCAGAGTTAACAGCTGCCCTCCTGTCAGGTGCACTTCCAGGTGTTCAGGAACTGAACCAGTGGGTCGGCTGCTGTGGTCGGGGGTGGGGGTCACGGCTCACAGCTCATTAATGGTCCCAGTTATGTGGCAGCTCTGCTGTGTGTTTAATGGCGCTCATTACGAACCCAGCAGCACACCTTTCCCCTGCGCACACACACACACATGTTTGCACAGCTATCCAGTTAGGGGCATTCCATTGAATTCCATTACACAGGGTTCCCACGGGTCCTTGAAATCCTTGGAAGTTTGTGAATTTGAAAAAAATATTTCAAGGCCCTGGAAAGTTTGTGAAAACAGCCAAAAATTACACTTGTCCTTGAAAGTTCTTGAATGTCTTTTGGGGATTGAAGTCCTCTATTTAAAACTGATTTTTTATCATCTTTTAAAAAAAATTAATTATAAAATTAAAAACTTACATTTGTTGCGGTGGATAACTCAGGATTACAGTAAACTGACATCATTGATTCTGACTCAACAACTTCTTTGTTCAGTTTTTCATTGAATTACATGATATTCAACCTGTTTATTGGTAACATTCTGTGGTAGCAGTAGGTAATTGCCGTTGCGCGTGGTTCTTTAATTTGAGGAAATTGGTACAGGAAAGTCCTTGAAATGACCTTGAATTTGATGTTAACCAAGGTGTGAGAACCCTGATTACATTCCTACAGCCTAACCCTGACCACAAACCCTAAAGTTAACCTCACAGGTACCTACCTGACCCTAAAACTAACCTAAACTCAATTCACACCTTGGTCCTAAACCCAACCCCCAACCCACCAATAGCATTTAAACCAAATGGGGACTGAACTTTTGTCCCCCAAATGCACCAGATG